GAATTCCTAGCAACTAGCAGGTCAGCAGAAAGCCCGAGATGCAGCGAAAGCGATTTCTGCCAGCTTTGAGACAGTCCCTCGACGCAATTGCACAGATACAAGATCGAATAGTCGAACATTCAAAATCCGACGGCTTGTGGAACTAGTACTTAGGTCAATGCCACCAGGTAGTTCCGAGTAGGTCCTTCAGTGTTTTTCAGAACGAGCTACCATTGGTAGACACTAACTAGTGCTCGATTTGTCAAACAGATCTTTGCCTTCCAGTGTTGTAGGTTGGTTGGGAAGAGTCTCACTGGGGTGTGAAACATGTCTGTGGTTGTGTGAATATGTGATCTTGTTTCCAATTTTGGCACAAGATCACATATTCCACCTGTTTTTCTTCCCCATCCTCACCGCCCTGATCCCCTCTTCGGGGTGATGGGCAGAGGGTCTTTGTGTGGTTTGTCATCTATTCCCTATTTTATTATTTTTGTTCCCCCTATCTATGGGATACTCCCTCGATACGGGCCGGGTATAGATGTTAAGTGTTTGAGACCTTCATCAGCTTGTCCTTGTGAGATGTATCAGTGATATGCTCCAAGAACATTGACCCATTGTTACTTAGTAACAATGCTCTGTCAGATATACCTAAGATGTCAAGCCTAGCGATACGTGTGAAGACTAAGTGAGTGCTAGAAAAGTATGCACCGAGCCAGCATGTTCCCATCTCCAAAGCGACCTACCAAGACCTACCAAGACCTACGAAAATCAATCTTATCCAAATTCAGTCTGAGATTCGCGCTTGGCTCGTATTGAAAGGACCACGGCAAATGTCAGCCACACGGTGGAGTGATTGCACAGGTTTGTTGAATCATGATCCCCAATAGCTGGATGGTTTAGGGTGGAACATCTTATTAGCCTATTAGAATTATTGGAATGGAGGATGTGGGAGCACGCTCGTTTTAGGAAACCTTCATAGAACTTCATAGACTCATACTGATTGATAATGTGAACCCGGATGAATAAGACCTGGTTGGAAATTCAAGTCGCTTAGCCCATAGTGTTGTGATTGCTTCATCCAAATGGTACTTGTACCCAATGATCAACAGCGCAGGGGGGTCCAATCACCACCAACAAGGCCCTTGGCGCACTCGACGCAGCCTCTGCGGCCTTGCTGAAGGTTGGTCAAAAGTCTTGAGGTGCCGCCCTGAGGATTCTTGGAAGTCTCAAAGTGGTCCAAGTGGTGATTTCAACATGTTGCAACCAGATTTGGGCTGATCCAATTTGATTTTCCTATTTTGGGGATGGGTTCAAACCACCAACCAACAACTCAGTCTCAAACTTACTTAGACTTAGACAGCTAGAACAAGGCGGACCATTTTGATCTTCCTACGTCTTTCTACTATTTTCTACTCACTTATCTCATTGCAATGGACAGCAGAAGGACCATAACATGGAATGACATGTGTTTGTTTCCATTGCACGAAAGAGTCTATGAAACCCAGGTCATGGGCAGTGATTCGAACGACTTCGCATCGCTTGGGTGGAAATGCTCCTACCAGATGAAACTCTAAAGTGGAAACAAAGCATTTGTTCAACCTTATCACTTATCAAATGCAATGCAAAGACATTCTTCAGGGAACTTGAAGACAATATCAATGGTGAACTTGACCCAATCTCAGTAAAAAACATGATTTACCTTACCTTGTTTTCTGTCCAGCAGACGTTTTCATCAATCATTGATTCAGCTCGGGCGATTGATAATGTCCACGGCCACGATTCAGATCCACAGCAAAGTGCTTGGCTGGATGGTTTGGCCCACGGAAGCCCATCAAGGGGCATGCCGTGCATCGCTTAAAACAGAAAGCAACATCTTTCAATCTCAACGGTCTTGCATCATCTTGCATCCCTCGCCAGCACAATTTGACACTGGAACTGCTGGTGATTCTCCTTTTGCAGGCTTGGTTCAATGCACAGATGTTGGAGCCATGTTCATCACACATGCTAGGAGGTTGGTTTGTGCGCAGCAGACCACAAGGGACTGATAATGCAACCTTCACCACAGCAAATTCACAAAGCTGAGTAGGAGCCTTTCATAGCCTTCCCATGTGGTACCTCAAAGGTTTAATCATGTCAACATCAAATATGAAGTGTCCTTGGCTTTGAATATCTTGGAATCGTTCCGCATCGTGGGGGCTCCGGATGTCGTGTGAATGCCGGAGCACTCAGCCCGCCCCGGGGAGTTCGGTCACGCGGTCAAGTCCCGACTGTCCTGAGGCTTGTCAGCCGAGCTCCTGAGCTTGGAGAGCATGGAGATTTTCGGTGCGGAGCTGAACTCCAGTCACATTTTCGGGTTTTTGTCGGGCCATTTGGGCCTTGGAAAATCATGGAAAATCCATCTGACATCATCTGCAATCATCTGACATCATCTGACATCATTTGACATTATCTGACATCATCTGACATCATCTGACATTATCTGACATCATCTGACATCATCTGACATCATCTGACATTATCTGACATTATCTGACATCATCTGACATCATCTGACATCATCTGACATCATCTGACATCATCTGACATCATCTGACATCATCTGACATCATCTGACATCATCTGACATCATCTGACATCATCTGACATCATCTGACATCATCTGACATCATCTGACATGACATCTGACATCATCTGACATCATCTGACATCATCTGACATCATCTGACATCATCTGACATTATCTGACATCATCTGACATCATCTGACATCATCTGACATCATCTGACATCATCTGACATCATCTGACATCATCTGACATCATCTGACATCATCTGACATCATCTGACATCATCTGACATCATCTGACATCATCTGACATCATCTGACATTATCTGACATCATCTGACATCATCTGACATCATCTGACATTATCTGACATCATCTGACATCATCTGACATCATCTGACATCATCTGACATCATCTGACATCATCTGACATCATCTGACATTATCTGACATTATCTGACATCATCTGACATCATCTGACATCATCTGACATCATCTGACATTATCTGACATCATCTGACATCATCTGACATCATCTGACATCATCTGACATCATCTGACATTATCTGACATCATCTGACATCATCTGACATCATCTGACATCATCTGACATCATCTGACATCATCTGACATCGTCTGACATTATCTGACATCATCTGACATCATCTGACATCATCTGACATCATCTGACATCATCTGACATCATCTGACATCATCTGACATCATCTGACATCATCTGACATCATCTGACATCATCTGACATCATCTGACATCATCTGACATCATCTGACATTATCTGACATCATCTGACATCATCTGACATCATCTGACATCATCTGACATCATCTGACATCATCTGACATCATCTGACATCATCTGACATCATCTGACATCATCTGACATCATCTGACATCATCTGACATCATCTGACATCATCTGAAACGTCAAATGGTTGAACACCACTTAACACCACTTTAGTAATTGCATGGTTTTTCTGTCATGTGCACGAAGCACTGTAAAGGGATATGCTCCCCCAAAAAAAAGCTATATATAACCGATAATAGCAACTACTGAGATTTAAAGGATTTTGACCGGAGCTCATCTGTTGGGATCCTGACATAGTTTGCTAAGGAGCAGAGCATTGGTATTTATCTCTCAGCAGGATGAAGAGATCCAGTCCACAGTCCCAGCGGGGTCCTGGCTTATCCATCAGATTATGTATGATTTGAATAGTCAAGGAAAGGCCCTATTAGTGATCTACTTGTATGTATCTGTATGTGGCGCGTGGAGTTTGAACTTTCCCTGTGACTAGCGCGATACAATGAGTTGTTTGGTGGGAAACATTGTCAAAAGGTCACGGTACCTCCACAGTCCAACAACCTTCCAAGGCCGGCTTTGCGAGAGGTCCTGCTCTTGGCATTTCATGATGTTTGGATCTGCCATTCATTGCTACTGATTCGCCTTCTTGGAGCTTCAACTACATGAGCATATGTGAAAGCATTGACTAACTACTACTTATGGTAATCTATGATAGTGGTATATTCTAATAACCCAAACATAAATTATAAATTAATGCAGTCATAAACTACAGACTATAGGTTATACATTAGCTTTTTTTAAAGCCTCGTAAACAATGCTTTTATAGCTCCAAGAGACGCGGTGAACGTAGGGGGTACGAGTGGCTAACGGACGTGGTGACGAACGTAAGGCGAACGAGTGAACGGACGAGTGCACGTGTGAGCGATTATACATTATATTGCATTATTAATTATTTATTATACTATCATGTGATATCATTACAATATAGGCATTAGCTACATAGCAATGATAAGATGATATGATAGTATACTCACTATTAGGCATATATCCCTACATGTGATAATTATAAAGACATCATTGTAATGTCACAATAATAAAAATAATATATATATATATATTTATATATTATATTATATATATATTATATATATATTATATTATATATAATATATTATATTATATATAATATATTATATTATATATATACATTTGTATATCCTCTTGACTTAACCACCTGGACTTCTGCAGGTGCTGAGCCTCTTACGGCCTGAGATTCACGATGTTGCCGAGCTCACGGCCGGGGAACTCAGCACAACATACGCAATATAACAGAAGTAACAGCCTTCGGAGAAGTCGTAGCATAATTGTTGTTCACCAGTTACTGTAATTCAACTACGAAGGTTATGGGATAACCATGGATAACCAAATATTGTCTATTTGTATAGAGCATGTTGTACACCAGTTATCTATAGTTATCTTATAACCATAGGTCGGTATAACACCTATAACACCTATACTAAGCATGTTCGACTACACGGCGTAGTCGACCTAGTCGCACCGAGGAGATCATCAGCAAACTGCGCAGCGAGCGCAGCGAGCGCAGGGCACATGGGTCCTGGTCATCTTTGTGGTCAGCAATGGAGTTACACAACCTGAACGCCAGGGACCAAGGAGATCCAAGGAGCTTGATTGAAACATATTGAAACTGTGACATATTGATATATGATATATGTACTGATATGATCTGATATGTACTATGTAATACTATGTGCTGATTTTTGTGACACATGAATTCTGGTACCTGTTGATAAATAGAAAGAAGAATACCTTGGAAGAACGTTGGCTTCTGGAAGAGCGTTAGCTTGTGCTAACAAGAAACCAGATTGTTCATTGTGTATTTTTTACAAGCAATTCAGCCACCCCATGTGCAGATTGAACGCATTTCCCTCAGGGGCCACCTGCACCTTTGAGGTCAGTTGTGCTGAACACTTTGCGGGAAGAAAACTTGCTGTGCTATGCGAGTGCCTTTTGAATTACAGTATGGCAATGTCGGAAACTTGACTGACCTGGGGCAAACTGACTGTTTGGGTTTCTGGTCAGCTGTGGTTACTGCAACTGTTTCTCTATGCCTATGACTTATGGTGCATTCATGTATTACAGATATTATACAGATGATACAGTACATGTATTTGTATACTGCATAAACAATGGTTTGATGTGGGAAATGATTTGTACATGTGTTATTCCACGTGGCTTCGCATCCTATCTAAGGAAATGCTAACGGAGGAGCGATGTGATGTCCTCCGCTTGGTCGTTGAGATTCGAAGCTGCGAAAGAGTGGCGAAGCGTTTCAAGGAGCAACGGAGAGAATCAGATATTCAGGATCACTACATATCACTACCTTCGGTATTCGGAGAAGATTCGTTAAATATCACTTGTTATCACTTGTTGTCACTTGTTATCACTTGTTATCACTTGTTGTCACTTGTTATCACTTGTTATCACTTGTTGTCACTTGTTATCACTTGTTGTCACTTGTTATCATTTGTTATCACGTGTTATCACTTGTTATCACTTGTTATCACTTGTTATCACTTGTTATCATTTGCTATCACTTGTTATCACTTGTTATCACTTGTTATCACTTGTTATCACTTGTTGTCACTTGTTATCACTTGTTATCATTTGTTATCACTTGTTATCACTTGTTATCACTTGTTATCATTTGTTATCACGTGTTCTCACTTGTTATCACTTGTTATCATTTGCTATCACATGTTATCACTTGTTATCACTTGTTATCACTTGTTATCACTTGTTGTCACTTGTTATCACTTGTTATCACTTGTTATCATTTGTTATCACGTGTTATCACTTGTTATCACTTGTTATCATTTGCTATCACATGTTATCACTTGTTATCACTTGTTATCACTTGTTATCACTTGTGATCATTTGTTATCACGTGTTATCACAGCAATGTTGTCACCATTTAAAGACAATTTCTCGTGAGAAGATATGATGGTCATTGTTTTGTGAGATCAATTGGGGAACGTCGTCCCTGTCCAGGGCCAAAAGGTGCCGTTGACAGATGCCAATGAGCACTGGCGGCATGAACTCGATGATTGGCGAGCTCTGTTGGCTCCTTTCTCATGGAAGAATTCGCGCGCTTCTGTTATGAGTTCCAATCTCAGACTCTGAATTGGAGGAGTTTCCTTAGTTTCCACATTTTTCCACAGTCCGACCGAAAACCTGTAATGATTTTGATTGCATTTGATGAAATTATTTCGATACAATTCCTTTGGTGCCCGGTGATGCATAGCTACGACCCAGGGCGGCCAAGGTCAGGCCTTGCTTGCGGCAGATCTTTGCGAGCCCCTGACAAAGCATGTTGACCTTGCAACTGGGATAAACAGCGGGGAGAGCAAAGAACAGCCGCCCATAGTGGCAAGTCCCTGTGAGGAACATACAAGGAAGTTCAATCAACTTTATCGTACTGTGACAGTCAATCCCTGACACTCTTGGCTTCTCAGTTTTGGTGAGACTCAAGGCTGTTGGTACCTGGTTGATACCTGAGCTGAAGATAGCTGAAGGGTCACCAGATGTCACTAGTAACCTTTGAGCTGCACAGTCCGTCCCGCTGTAAATCCCCTCTTTGCGCCAAGGTACGCTCATTTGAATATCTCCGATGTTTGGGCGGAGGACTAATCGACGAAGAGATGCAAAGTGCCCAGGCTGCAGATAACCCGGAGATCCACATCAAACGCATCAAATGCGTGAATTTCGACATATTTCGACCATTTCAGCCCAGTGGCTTTGTGAAAAACAGTGGGAGATGTCTGAAGCAACTTGGTTTCGCAGGATTTGTGGGATCATGTCACATGTTTCTCACAACGGTACAGCTGGTCCTCTGGGCTCAGCGTTTCTAAGGTGCCATCAAGAAGCTGCAACAACATGGAGAAAAGTACTCCTGTTGGAAAGCCAGTGAGGTCTCAGAAGCAGTTCTCACGGCATACCGCAAGAGCGTCACCTGGACTGCAGCTACTGGTTGACTTCTAGAAATTGCCAGGGACTGCCAGGGGCAGGTGATTTGAATTTCGCCCACGATCTCAGGTGATTTTTGCCCGGACAGCAGCTGTGCTGCCAAAGGATGTCCTGGATGCTGAAGCCACTGCAAAGGCACGTGGATCACTTCATAGCGCTGCAGAAGCCATGGGATTTTTGCCCTCGGCTTTGACGGGAAAGATCCCACTGCCAGTGTCACTCGGCACCCTTTGGCATCCTGGCATCCTTTTGAGCCTCACGGCAGGCAGTAGAGTGTGCTTACTGTCTTACTGTAGCGAACTTTGCGTGCAACTCTTTGCAACTCTACAATGTTAAAGAAACAGCAATTGGATGATTTGACTGCTTGCGGGCAACCTGGAGAGGAATCGTGATTATGCTTTCAGCTTCTCTATTTTCATGGAAGGGTCTTGACGCAAAATGTTGTTGTCCATCCTGTCATCCTTTCTCAGAGCAACATGCCATGGCAGCGCCAGTCTCTCTTGCAAATCCTTTAAGGCTTGGGCACTTGGCTGGGTCAGACCCTCAGAATGGCTTGATCTAACAGATACCGAACAGATACCTTGCAGCAGTGCGGAGGGATCATAGCGGCTGGTTGCTTGAAATTAAGCAAGGCAGCAAAGGATACCAGCTGTGGATCCCACACCAAGCTGCGTAAGCAAAGGCTTCTTTTGAGCAAAGAACCAACAACACAGATAGACATATGGTATGCATAATTTCCCCAGAATAGATGCCAGACCTACGTCCCACAAATGGACAGAACTTGTTTGTACATGATCAAGACATATCAACACTGTGGGTGAAGAGTGAAGATAATTCCTATTCGCCACTGCTTCCAATAACTTTGCAGGCTAAGCCTGCAGGCGATTTGTGAGCTCTCATCAATCATCAATGGATGTCATATGGTCTCATTATGTCTCATTCACTTTCATTGACATGATGGGAGTGTCCAATGATCGCAGCATGCTCCACATTCTACATAGATGATCATAGATGTTGCAAATGTTATTTTATACTCCATGGAATCCATTGCCTGTGACATTTTTTTTTTGCATGTTCATGTTCAGGACATATTACATACTCCAATCATCTCCAACATACTGCTTCAGGCGACTGCTCTCTCTGGCGGAGCAAGAGGCAGGGCCCAGGGGGTGTTTGAAAATGATGGCAACACCCCGAAGTCGATTGGTTAATCGTAGTATATCATGATTAATCATCATATCATCATATTCCCTGCTAAACTATATTAAGCTGCCATTTTTTGGGTATACGGTGGTATACAGTACCACATGTTCGGACGAACCCAACTCTTGCGAACCGATGTGTGCTGAGGGTATCCACCCAACAAGCACTTAATTATTCTACTTATTGCATCTTATTGCGATTTTGGAGGACCGTGACAAAAGAACCAATGCAATTGGGGATCAATCCAAGGGCACGCACCGAAACGTCATATCGAATCATCAAGGGCACAATGGCACAACATATTTGCGCTGGTACAACACCGCACTTCTTGGCAACTATTCGCATCGCAGGGGAAAGCTCAGCAAGATTCAGATCTGGTCCAAAAGCTTTGTCGGAGCCTGGCCGAGACGGCACAGATGTGCAAAGACAACATCTCTGAGGCCGGAGGGAAAACTCGACTCATACTTGCCACACTTGCCTCGTTCACAGCTTCAAAATAGTAAAACACATCTGACTGTTTGCAAGTGATCCTCATCGTCACATGAGAGGGCTTATGCTTGATATTCTGAGTCAGTTGTTCATTTCTGGTTAAAACCATGTGGAACAAGGAGCTATTCGCACAGTCACTCGCTAGGCTCCACACCAGTTGTGTCTGAACTTTCTCCTTCAAGTCGGCAAGGACACAACTCCCGCTGTGTTGTAATGGCCATGATGATGCAACACTTGTTGACTTTAGAATCAAGAGAGTACTATTAGTAGCATGAAAATTAGTTCTGTGAGATTATGTGAGAGCCATTTAGCAAAATCCTGCAATGCGATTGACGCTTTGCTTCACATTTTCTTTCCGGTGCTCTTTTTTGTTGCCAGGAGTATTTGACACGTGCAACGCCGCGGCAGGGCACATGTGGCACATATCTCAATTTTGAACTCTTGGTTGGTACGGTTGGTACCTCAGTTGAAGTCCTGTGGATCCGCTGGATCCGCTGGATCTGCTGGATCTGAGGCTGGCGGATCTTCCATGCAACTGTTGCGAAATTTGGAGATCCTTGCAGAAAGAGTATACCATGTGCGATACTAATCGATACATTCGATACTGGGTCACGGCCACCAAGTAGTATTTGTCAGGTTAGAGTTGTTGGAGGAAGATATGGTCAGATTGATTGCAAGGGCGAGATGATAGAAGATGCATCCGCCTGCGATCATTACGATCATGGATTCTACCATATTCTACCATTAAACAGCCGTTGGGTATCATTGAGTCTTGAATAGTATTTGATGATATTCGATGATAATTGATGTTTGCTGCTGTGAGTTCTTGCCCGTTAAGACTCGGATGTGGCTGATACTTGGGAACAGCACCAAGATCAACCAATTGGACCAGTTTAAGGACGCACCCAGAAGCCCAGCGACTCTTGGGCAACATGGCGTTGTCTGAACTGCTCCAGGTGGGGCATGGAGATGGGGAAGACATGGAACGGGATGTTACTAGCGGTAAGTGATGCATATTCAACGGATGGACACCCAGTGACCATGGCTTTGAAGATAGTCTTGTTGGCAGATCCTACTGGGTTTCTGTTGAGGTGGCTTCGTTGATTCAAGAAGCACACGGCATGGTTCACGGAGTCTCTCGGTTTGCATTCTGCAGCCTTTCAATGCTTTTCAGCAGTTTCACTATCTCAGTTTAGATTTCATCTTTTTCACAGTACAGAAAACGAGGACAATCTCCCATTTGCTCATGCTGGTCTACAACGATGGCTGGCACGCTTGAAAGTCGACTCGTCTCTGCATCCAGCAGATATGAGCGAGCAACGAAGCCGCACTGCGCCGCACCTGCTCATGACAACCCCAAACAAAAGGCCCATTCAAAAATGGGCTTTTGGATTTTTTCAAAAACGGTTCTGGTGTGTTTTGTCCATTTTTGTCCTTCGCCGGCTTTACCACAGCCCAGGCTCAGTGCAGCTTTGGAGGATTTCCTCAAGCAGAGCCTTGGATGTCATGGTTTTCTGTTGTTTGCCTTAAAATCCAGTGTTTTGAACTTGGATCCACACAAGGGGGGTATACAACATGTTCAGACAAACCGACAAACCCATATTGCGCAGGCCTATTGCAAGCTTTTCTGGATTCTTTTGGTATTGTACTGTATCTAGTAGATTCTAGTAGTACTCGCGGGGGAGGGAATCTGAATCAATCAAACAACCACACTTTCGTTCCCGTCATCAAGCAGCTGCACTCCAGAAGCTATGAAGGCTATGCTATGACAGCGAGGTGAAATTTGACGTTTTTGAATATTCTTGGCATACAGACATGAGAAATCAATGGATATTATAGGCTTATAGGATATTAGATATTAGATTCATTAGATGGCAATTTATTGGCTTTGCCGAGGAACTATGCTGCTCGGATTGCGGGTCAGGAAGAAGCCCTACCAGCGTGTCTACTACGAGTGCTGCAACGCTTGGAAACAGGCCGCCATGTTGCGCCATGTTGCGCCGAAGGACGTGATCTACAGACTGTTTTTTTCCCCTTCAGCTTTAGCTTCAAAGAAGCTAGAATAGCATAGAATACTGTAGCATAGAATAGCTAGAGTTTTGTTTCACATTCAACAGTTCAGTATGTTCACTTCCCAAATCTTCCCAAGCTCTTCTGTTTGGTTCTCAATCCGGCCCAAGGATGTTCATGTTCCGCAGCTTTTTTGTGGCTGAAAGGATCGAGACACAGAACTCTTCGAGCTCCGGATCCCGGGCGACACGGCGACACGGGCCCTTCGAAGCCATGTGGAAGAGCCGTTGCATCCGCTGCAGGTTGCAAGTTGTGATCATTGTGGTGTTCATGGTGTTCATGTTGAGGCTGATTTCACTCGGTCCTCTTGTATCACAACATGCGTTCTCGTCGAAAGCTTCACGGACATGGCCGACTTCGCCAATGTCCAGAGTCAACTGCAAGCAATCGAGCGAATCACGGGTGTTCCACAAGCCGTCCAATCCTAAATGGACCTGGCCATTGAGTCTCGTTATCCTAACATTCAGCTTGTCTGCCTCAAAAGTCCAACCTCCGCGCTTGTCAAGCTCCAAAGTGGGTTTGGCGCGGCAAGCATTCGCTGGAGGCCTGGAAGGGTGCGATCATCATGGAGCAGGGCGTTACGAATTCGAAGCTCGGCGGTTCGATGCGTTTAAGATCATCCAGATGCTCATTTCTTGGTGATTTGTGAGACATGTCTTCTTTGAATGTTTGAAGCAAGTTGAACCGGGTAGGAAAATGAGGGACGTCCTATGAATCTGTGTCTTTACGTTTTTTGTTCGGCTCCATATGTCTGTAGTTATAGACTTATATATATATATACACATATTGAAATTATATTAATATAATATATATATATATTAAGTATATGTATTTGTATACAGTATGTCTTTTATGTATTCAGAAGTTGTAGCCAAGGATCCATTGAATTTCTGTGAGCTCTTCCCTGAGAATCTCCCCTGGTGTAGAGAGGCAGAGGTGAAGCACGGACGCGTTGCGATGTTGGCATATGCGGGTTTGGTCCTGCCTGATTTCTTCCGCTTTCCTGATCCCATCTTCAAACAAACGGGCTTGGATGCCATCTCAGCTCACAACATGCTTCTGGGCGGTGCTGGCAGGGGAGCTATGTGGTGCCTCCTGCTGTTTCCAGGCATTGAATAGTCTGATTTTGGAACAAATACGCATTTTTGGCAGCACATTCATATCATTAATTCCCATTTTTCACTTGCTGTAGTCGTTGGAGTAGTATTGGAGGCTCCGGAAGAATTACCAGCTACAGCATTGCTTGACAGTTGCAGTGGAACAGAAGCGCAGCTTACTTGTAGCAACCACAATCCATGAGAGGCTATAGTTGAGATTATTTGATGAATACGGGTTGGGGGATGTGACATTGACGTGGAGTGTATGTTGACTATGTTGCACCCTTGGTGCCTTTTGACATCTTTTCAGTCAAAAAAATGTGTTTGATGCAGTTCTCCACATCATACCTGTCTTATTATGACTGTGGGTCAAAAGCTGGTTTATGGATCTTCATTCATCCCTCGAATACGATAAATATCGATAAATCAATGTAAATCATTGATTTTGACATATTTTGATATATTTTGACCATCCCCATATGCTGTCCCTAAGATCAATCGTGGCCGAGGTTCTGTGGAGCCTTGGAGTTTCTGCGAATGTGTCAGCTGGGAGTTGACTTCGAACTTCTGACGCTGGACACTGCTGGAGATTTCGGGATTGGCTCATTCCTTCTTCCAGATCTTCCAGAAGCAGATGAGGACATTTCGATCCTCAAAACTCAGGAATTGAAGCATGGGCGTTTGGCCATGATTGCTTTTGGTGGGGCCATCACGCAAGCTGTTGCATGCAATGCTCATCATTTTCCCTTCATGACGTGCAGCATGTGCTAGTTTCGAGACATGGTCTATCGCGAGACCAGATCGAGTCCGGAGCAGCATATTTGGGTTCCATTGACAACTCGGACATCCAATATGAACATACTGTTGACTTATGTTGACAATTCTGTTGACTTCATTGTTTCATGATTCGCCTACAACATTTGAACGAAGCTTGGCACCTGCTGGCACAGTTTTGCTTAGGTGCGCCGCTGCTGCATGTTTTTCAGTCAGCGAGTTTTCGCACACTGTAGAGACTTCAGTTCGATATCCCCACATGGTGGATTGTGACCGCTTGCTCTGGAGTGGATCCATCAGCAGGTAAGGATTCAAATGTTTAAAACTCCATTTCAAGAATGTACGTTTTGCTGCAAACTGGACGTCAGAAGTTTGATTAGAAAGCAGAAATATCCTGGAGAAGTGCAGCAATTTTCTAGGTGTTCAGATGTGTGTTTTTTTACTTTTCTTGGTTGTGTCCAGGCTTTCTGCGGAACAGAGTCCAATCAAATTTCTTGTCTTCCGGACAGCAGTAGTTCATAGGGATGCTCCCTGGAACACGAGAAGAAAACGCCCGGGTTGATATATGTTGATATCACATAGGTTCAATCTGCTTACAATTCGCAAGAGGCTCGTTGGGGATGCCTCCACTGGGAACGCTTCAGGCCTGGAGATTGAGGGCGATGAGTCTGCCTCTGTGCCTCGGTGAAGTCAAGTGGGTTATTGAGATTGTTGAAACCCAATGAAACCCATAGGCCCATAGGAATATGTACTAACCAAATCTAACCAAGCAGTATATTTTTCATGGCTGATTTGAAATGGTTATACTGTTTAACTCTCAGTGTTGATGAAGCTTCACTATTCAATTCAAGATGCATTCCACCATAGTAATCTTCAACCGGTCAGATCCTCTTTGAAAGGATTGATCGGATCGCATTTGTCCCTTGGAATTTGCTGTTTTCTGAGGCGATTTGTCCTGCAGGCGATGCGGGCTGAGCACACTGAAATTGGGGGGCCAGTCTGGTCCTGCTCAGCTTGATTTAAGCAAACACTTTTGCCATGCGCCAAAAAGATTTAACATATGGTAACTGGTTTGCAGAGAATCTCAGAGACAGCCGGCACTGTCTTTCCTTAAATTTTGCTCAGCATTCGTAGGAGGAGAAAAAGTTGTAGAACGGCGTCGGCCTGAAAATGTGAAGCAGAAGGCTGGGACTTTGTAAACGTTAAAGGAGATCTATCATGTTTATTCGAAGGCTTCGAGGGCAACTGAAGTCTAAAATCCATGTTGGTTTGCCCTAAGCAAACTTTGCAGTGCTTGCCCAACTGCCCAACAGCAGTCACTCTGCAGGTTATTGCTTGCTTCGGGCAAAATGGTGGGCTGGCGACTTCACCTGTTGTGGTTCGCTGCATTCCTATAGGTCGAGTGCTTACTTATCAGACTGGATGGGACCAAGACTTTGGTACCTTTGGTACCTTGCTGCGCACTTTATTTGTGAAACATAGGGAAACTATGTGAAACCCAAGGACTGAAGTCCAGAGCTGCCTCCGCTTCGACAGGCAGATGGATGATATGTGGTAGACATTTCAGCAATTTAAGCTTGGATCTTGAGTGCTAGTGTAAGTTGCTATTGACAATGCACCGTGCCATGCCCAAGCCCAAATTCTGGAGCAAAGTTGATATTTGATGATATTATACTAAGTATTTGTTGTTTCCCAGGATTTAGCTGAGGGATGCCTTTGTAGCGCATTATGGCAGAACATGCTGGAGATTTGGATGTGCTGTCGCAGCCGTGTTGGCCTTCTGCCCAAGAAATCCGGTGCCACTCTGGGTTGGGCGCAATGGCAGTGGCCACTGACTCAGGTCTCTTCGGAGAATCGTTTGATGTTGCAACATGTTGGCTGGACGGGGGGGGTTAGCCCCGTTTTTACTGGGTTGCTTTTGGGGTTGGGGGGGGTGGGGTGGGATGTCAACGTTCATGTTACGCTGATGATGTTACGCTGATCATCTGGGGTTGGGGTGGGGTGGGGTGGGATGTTAACGTTCATGTTACGCTGATGATGTTACGCTGATCATCTGGGGGTGGGGAGGGGTGGGGTGGGATGTTAACGTTCATGTTACGCTGATGATGTTACGCTGATCATCTGGGGTTGGGGAGGGGTGGGGTGGGATGTTAACGTTCATGTTACGCTGATGATGTTACGCTGATCATCTGGGGTTGGGGAGGGGTGGGGTGGGATGTTAACGTTCATGTTACGCTGATGATGTTACGCTGATCATCTGGGGTTGGGGGGGGTGGGGTGGGATGTTAACGTTCATTGTTACGCCTGAATGATGTTACGCTGATCATCTGGGGTTGGGGAGTGGTGGGTTGGAACTTGTTACGGTTCATGTTAACGCTGATGATGTTACGCTGATCATCTTTGGGTTGGTGTGGGGTGGGGTGGGAGTGACGTTCATGTTACGCTGATGTGTTACGCTGATCTCTGGGGTTGGGTGGGGTGGGGGGTGGGATTGTTAACGTTCATGTTACGCTGATGATGTTACGCTGATCAATCTGGGGTTGGGGTGGGGTGGGGTGGGATGTTAACGTTCATGTTACGCTGATGATGTTACGCTGATCATCTGGGGTTGGGGAGGGGTGGGGTGGGATGTTAACGTTCATGTTACGCTGATGATGTTACGCTGATCATCTGGGGTTGGGGTGGGGTGGGGTGGGATGTTAACGTTCATGTTACGCTGATGATGTTACGCTGATCATCTGGGGTTGGGGTGGGGGGGGGTGGGATGTTAACGTTCATGTTACGCTGATGATGTTACGCTGATCATCTGGGGTTGGGGTGGGGTGGGGTGGGATGTTAACGTTCATGTTACGCTGATGATGTTACGCTGATCATCTGGGGTTGGGGGGGGGTGGGGTGGGATGTTAACGTTCATGTTACGCTGATGATGTTACGCTGATCATCTGGGGTTGGGGGGGGGTGGGGTGGGATGTTAACGTTCATGTTACGCTGATGATGTTACGCTGATCATCTGGGGTTGGGGAGGGGTGGGGTGGGATGTTAACGTTCATGTTACGCTGATGATGTTACGCTGATCATCTGGGGTTGGGGAGGGGTGGGGTGGGATGTTAACGTTCATGTTACGCTGATGATGTTACGCTGATCATCTGGGGTTGGGGGGGGTTGCTACGCTCAGAAGGTCTTGGGGGCAGTGTGTGTGCACTTGCTTTCGATGTTGATGGTACGCGAAGAACGTATTTGGGGTTGGGGGGGTTGGGTCTGTGTTAACTGTATGATATATTTACTGTATTATATAATTATATATTTACTGAATAATATATACTTGTCAGGATGATTTGTTTATGTAAATTTCACCGGTCATGTCTGCCTGCTACCTGCGCTGCAGGTACGCATCTCAGATGTTGGGGCTGGGCTGCATTGGTGTGTCAGGGCTGGTTGGAGTTCTTGGTTGCGTGAGAGTTCGTCAAGTTTGCTTAGACATATAAGTTTCCAAAAGTAGTTCGTAGTTACATGGTTCAAACGCAAGAAAGGGTTTAACGCGAATATCATGGGAATGTCATGCTTGTCTAGCACAGCTTTGCTTGTGTAGCTCGCTGCTGGGCTCTGTTTCCATGGATCCGCTTCTGTATGGTGTTACATTGTTAATTCTCCTCCGCGCAGCTCATGAAAAGTTTCCACCTGTCTGTGTTCTTTGGTCCTTTTTGAGCACGGAAGAACTGTGGGATGTTCACTACATCTTAGCGTTGAAATGGCATGGGGATGCTGGAGCTGAGACCACCTTTGCTGCAGTGGAACGAGTGTATCATTGGACGAGCCTTCGCCAGGGTTTGTCGGTTCTCAAGGAAATTTGGTTTCGTTATGTGAAAGAACATAGGCCTCTGCCAGTGAAAGTTCTTCAACAAGGTGAATGGTTGCAGAAGCGGCTACGTGGAACAATGCCGCAGAGCTTTCCTGACTCAGAGTTGGCTGAACCTTGGGACTTTCAATGTGAAATGATGTTGCAAAATTTGCTGGAATCTGGGCAGCCCATTGAGCCGCTTTCGACTGCAGGACGCAGAACTCTTGAACATCCACCCTCCGTGATTCCTGTTTCTGAGTTCGGTTTTAGTTTTTTTCTTGACATCTTACTTTTCTTCCTTAGATGACCTCGTTATCATTTCTTGTCGGATGCCGAAATAGACGAAATAGACTTTGTACTGTCATGTTCGTGACGTTCAAACTGTTGTATCCTAGGTCTGTGAGAGCCCGGAGATTCGAAGAATGTTGGCTCCTACGTTGACTTTGGAATCGGAATCCGAAAGTCAAGATGCTGAAGGAGATGCATCGTCAGCTAAATCGGAAAGTTTGTCGCCACCGCGCTTCCAAGGTGGAAAGATTATCGATAGTCCTATAGCTTTGCGACAAAAACTCGATTATCTTTTGAAGCACTCTGTGAATGCCCCGCTTCTTGGTTTGTTTTTCGAATTGTTTTCCAAGGATTTGTACTGTCAATTCTTTCCCTGATGCATTCATTTGCATTTGAGAATGATGAATCTCAGGTTGCCCTCAGCTTCTGCTGCCGAGCTCACTCACTCATCTTCGGCTGCGTCTTCGTCTGGCGGCCCTATGTCGATGCTGCAGCGGGCTGCGCTCTTTGAGGACCGTGTCAAACCGGTCGCAGATGAAGATGGAGCGACCTCCCTGCCTGACACAAAATGGGGTAGATGCATGCGGGCAGACTGTGGATATGCTTTGTCGCCGCACCTTTATGCTTCTGGTCAATTTGCAGGACAGATTCGCTTGCTTTGCAATAGGTTCAAGAAAGTGCAAGATGGTAAAAGAATGTGTTTTTTTTCCGCTCCTGTTCCGAAAGACAAATGGTCGGAGCTGCCCAAGTTCATGAGAAACAAGTATGCAGAACTCCCTGCCAGTTTGCGCCGAAACACTGAGCGCGATGTGTGAAGAACTTTGTGCCAATCGGAAAAAGAGCTGCTGCTGCGGTTTGTTTGCTGAGAGATCTTTGCACCTGATGAAGAATGAAGCATGAAGTTTCCGCAGAATGAAATGGCCTGTCAATCGCGAATATCATGGGAATCAATTCAAACCACTTGGCCATGACTCTGATACCTTGACTGCAGACACACCTTGCATGTTTCTCCCAGTCGCCAGAATTTGGTTGGTGAAGTTGTGGGTGCCATGTGTTTCACTAGGTCTGAGGTTTTTTTGAGCAAGCCATGGCCATTTTCCACTCATGTCACGTCTTTTTTGCAAAGCCTTTTTAGGTCCGAGTTTCACACAGGGAACGTCCAATGAAAAAATCCCTCGGACATGATAGATATCCCTCTGGGCGCAAACGACCTCCGAGTCGCACCATCGCTACGAGTTCTGGTGTCAACAGAGAATTTCACAAGAAGGGTCTCAGCTATTCTCCCGGAATCCGTGGGAAATTCAAAAAGTACCGTGCTTTGCGAGGTCTCAAGCAGATTGACTTTGCATCCTTAGCCTTGTGGTCTGAAATGCGGTGCAAAAAATACCTGGAAGCCAAAGGTTTCTTCGGGGTGCAGTGGGGAC